ACGTCCGCAGAGAAAAGGCGCGCCCCGCCCCGCGGCGGCGTCTAACGGGGGTACCACTTGTCGATCTCTGATGTTCAGCATGCGGTTTCGAGCGTGGCGCCAGGCGTGGGCCCAGTTGCCACCGCATGGCCCGCGACGGGCAGCCAGCCCACAGGGCGCGACGTGGCGGGCCGGAACCCACTCATTGGGTCAGATCTGCGTAGTCGTTTTTTTTTTTTTTTTGGGGGTGGAGGGGTATGACGCGCTGCGGCGTTTGCCCTGCGTGGCGGAAGCATATGCCTCACGCTCCACCGCTGCCGCCCCGCCCGCTGTGGGCAGGGGCCCTTTTTCGCAGCTCCACGTGGCGGCGACGGGCCTTTTTGACGATGTTGGCTGGCGCACCGGCCAGCGAATCAATTTGCAAGCATCAAGGAAAAGGGGGCATGCTGAAGTTTTTCTGGAAGTTGGCTGCGAAGGGGAGAAACCCGCCGGCGAAGGACACACAGTACGCGGCAATCCGTCACTTCCCGGGTGGGATGCGGGAGGCCAATGGAAGGTGATTTCGCAAGGCGGTGGAAAAACAGGGAATTAAGATGAGGCTTGCCATGTATCATTGGGTAGCTTCGCTTCTTGGTGGGGTCCTCGCGTGCGGCGCCCTTTTTCCCTCTGTTTTCTCCGTAACTTAGTGTGCGTCTTCCTTTCTTTTTGTCCTACAAAAAGGCGGCGGCAGGGGCGGGGGTGGTTGGGAGACCATATGGAACAAGCGAGGTCCCCGCCACAATCGCGGGGAGAAGGTAATGAAAGGAGCACATACGTTGTTTAAAAGTTTTGTTCTTGTCTCGAGTCTCTTCATTCCCCTCCTTCCCTAAGCGGCGCCCGTCCAGGCCCTCAGCCCTCCACCCCGGCGTCACCCGGCCTTCTCCGGCTGCGTTGCCCTGGGGGAGGCGGTGAAGCGCGGCCGCTTTTTTGCACGTGCTGCCTGCCTCGGTCTCATCATCTGGCCAAGGTGCGGTGACAGCTTCGCCGTGTACGCGAAGAAAATAAGCCACAGCGAAACAGACGCGACAAACCATACAAGAAACACGTCAAGCTGTTCAATGCGCAGCGGTTGCGCATCCGCCGGTGGTACGTCGCCAAAAATAACGCATCGTTCGAGCGATTCATTTCTTCCAAGCAGTTGGTTGCGGTAGCGGCTCTCAAGCAGATCAACGGCCCTCTCCGCACCACCGAAGAACCTAGAGACCTGAAGAAGTCGTTTCATGTTGGCCTTCGCCTGGTTTCCGTGTTGCACGACCCATCGTATTGCCCTTGACACGTCGTCGGAGGTGAAGCGGTGCTTGTGCCCAACGTACCTCCCCACACCTGCCTCCTCCAGGCGCTGGCAAACATCCGATTGGTCGGCAAAAAAAGGAATCCCAACAACAGGCAGCTGGGCCTCCAACGCCTCATGCACAGAGCTGTCGCCACAATGTGAGACAAACGCCACCACATTCGCGTGCTTCATGATTTTCAGTGGAGAAACGAAGTAAGGCCGAATGTGCGTCCGCTCCTTCATCTTTCCCAAGTCGCCCTGGAGCAGGCGCTCCACCTGCTCCCCCTTCAGTTTCCAGATGGCGCAGTACGGAAGCTGCCGGAGGGCCCTAGCAAGCTGCTCCGCTTGGCGCCAATGCAGGGAAACCAACGTCCCAAGGTTCACGTAGACGGCACCTTGCGGGCAACCCTGCAAAAATGCTGAAAGCTCCTCCTCCATTAATGGAGTGCGGTCCTCGTCAAAGCTCAGCAACCCCAATGTATGGAAGTTGGGGCACAGCTCCTGCGGAATATCAAACCCCCAAACGGTGGGTGCGAGTACGGTGTCATACCAGCCTCCCAATTCGTACCCGTTGCGAAGTGGCGGAATTTTGTACAACGCTCTTGCGTCATTCACGCGGTGGAGCGAGCTTGCAAATCCCACCACAATGCTCCGCAAAATGCAGTTTAGCAGCCGTTGCCAGTGGTTCATCTGCGCCGGCCATCCGGTCCCCATCAGAGGAAGGCGGTTGCAGAAGCCCAACGGAAGCATCGTCGTCAGTGGAAATAACAAGACGGAGGGGACATCCAACGCACGCGCCACGGAGCCGCCAACGAAGGTGGCGGCATCGCTGAGTAGTATGCTGAACGGGTGCCGGGCATGCACCTTCCGGGCCACCGCAAGGTAGTCGCCGAGCTGCAGCTCATGGTGGCGGAAGGACTCATTCCAGAGATCCACAAACGTCAGGAAGAGGTTGTCTGTGCGACTCAACTTTTCAAAAAGGGCAGGATCACTGAATGCACCGCGTGAAGGCATGGTAATACACGCCGCCCTGCCTACCCCGTGGCGCTGGACATCCTCACACCACTGAGGGTTCTCACTAAAATATGTGACATGGTGTCCACGCCTGGTAAAGGCCTCCCCCACCGACCACAGCGGCTTCCAGTGGCCGTAAAGAGGGATGCAGATGATCCCAACATGCATGGGAAACGCATTGGGGGCAGCCGCGTCCAGCAAGGACGCCGCCACCACGGAGGTGGGCCCGCCACCAAGCATGACAAGTAGCGTGAGTAAATACCACATGCATCCCTTTCTGAGGCTACCGACCTTCATCGCTTAGGCCTGCCTCAACCCACTTTGGCTTCTTTAATATATTTCTCTTGTGCTTCTGTGTTTTTCGCCC